CCTCTTGGGGCCTCTTGGGAACCTCTTGGGGCCTCCTGGGAGCCTCTTGGGGCCGAGGGCTCAAAATGTTCCGGTCTTCCGTCTGAGCACGCTCGTGGAGCCGTCTTGTTGGGGGCCTCTTGGGCCGTCTTGGAGGCGTTTTGGGCTGTCTTGAGGTCCTCTTGGGCTGTTTGGGGGCCCTCTTGGAAACCTCTTGGGCCGTCTTGGGGCGATCTTGGGGGCCTCTTGCGCTGTCTTGGAGCGGCGGGAAGTGGAAAAAGCGCGAACGCCCAAATCTGAAAAAAACAAAAAGGAACATTTATGAATGTGGCCTCCTGGGGCCCTCTCGGGAGTGCTCTTGGAGTCGTCTTGGGGCCTTGGAGGCGTGAAGGCGTTCTGGACCGATCGTTCGGCGATTGGGGACCCTCTTGGACCGCCTCGGGGACCTCGGGGCACTCTCGGCCTGTCGTGGTGCTTTTGATGCCCTGGGACCCCCCCTCCGGGACCCCCTCCTGGGACCCTCCACCGGGGACCCCCCGCCAGGACCCCCCCCAAGCGGGGGAGGGATCAAAGGGAACGGGCGCCTCTGCCACTCGATTGCGACACTGCTAGATGTTTCTCTCGCTGATAAGCTTGAGGAGGAGGGTGCAGGGAAAGTGGACGACTGAGACGACGACTGACGGAGACGACGACTCGAACAGACAAGCCCCTCACACGCCGACAGGGTCGGCGGATTCCAGGTCAATGTTTCCCTGCCTGGTCTCAGCTTTCCAGTCGGGGTCCCCTTTTCGACCGCGTCTGGGGGGGTTCTTTTTCGCCACTCTGCCATTCACATGCGGTCCCTGCCGCCTTCAGAGGTGCGGGCAGATGGAGCTTGCATCCTTCGCCCGTTGACCAGGCCTGGTCCGATCTTGTGCGCTCTCTCTCTCTCTCTGCCTCCTCTCTCCCTCTTCTTCTCCTCTTCTCCGCTCTCTTCCCAGGGCGTGCGTTCAGTCTGCCGCTTCCGCTCTGCCTGCCTTCCCCCCCGGCCGTCCCCCTCCCACCCCCGCTCGCCCCTCCCCCTTCGTACTCCTCTCCCCCGCTCCACCGCGCCTCCTCCCCGTCCCCTTTCCTTTATTCCCAGCGGCGCTCGTTGAGCACGCGCTTCGAGAGCCCCCCCCCGCCGTGGCGCAGATCCACTTGGAGCAGTCCGAGGAGCTGTAGCCAGACCCGCGCGCGGGACGCGGCGGCGCCCCCCCACTACGGGCTGCCGCCGCGTGCGCGGTCGGGGCCCTTCCGAATCGCCCCTCGCCCGACTGGGCGGCCGACTGGAAGGCGGGGCTGGCGCCCTCCTTGGCGGAAACACTGCCCGAGTCTGTTGCCTGTGGTGCGAAGGTCGTGGTGTGTGTGTGTGTGTGTGTGTGTGCGTATGTATGTATGTGTGTATGTGCTTATGTATGTATGCATGAATGAACGGATGAACATATGTGTATATGTATGTACGTACGTGCGTACGCATGAACGTAGGTCTATATGTACGCATGTCCGTGTCTATATACATATATGTATGAATATAGGTACATGAGTATGCATGAATGTATGCATGTATGTATGTATGTACGCACGTATGCACGTATGCATGTATGTATGTAGACAGGTCGGTCGGTCGGTATGTCTGTATATATGTATGCATGCATGCATGCATACATGCATGTGTGTGTGTGTATGGATGCTTGCATGCACGTCTCTCTATAGGTTTGTATGTACTCATGTATGCATGTATGTATATATGCATACGCGCATGCATGCATGCATGTATGTATGTATTTACGTATGCATGCATGTCTGTAGGTATGTAGGTGTGCGTGACTGTATGTATACATGTACGCATGTATGTATTTTATGTCTGTTTGCATGCATGCATGCACGCATTTATGTACGTGTATACGTGTGTGTGTGTGTACATATGTATGTATGCACGTATGTATGTAGATAGGTCGGTACGTCGGTCGGTCGGTCGGTCAGTCGGTCGGTCGATAAGTAGGTATATATGCATGTATGTATGTATGTACGTGTGTGTATGTATGTATGTAACTATGCATGTATGTATGTGTGCAGGTACGTATGTAGTTAGGTATGTATGTGTGTACGCATGCATGCATGCCTGCATGCGTGCATTGATGTCTGCATGAATGTGTGTGCGTAAACTGTGACTGAATGTATGTGTGTATGAATGCATGTATGCCTGTATGTATGCATGTACGTCTGCATGTATGTATGCACGTATGCATCTATGAATGTATGCATGCATGCATGTATGCATGTATGCACGCATGCACGCATGCATGCATGCATGCATGCATGTATGCGTGTGTATGTATGTATGTATGTATGTATGTAGGTAGGTAGGCAGGTAGGTAGGTAGCTATGTATGTATGTATGTAGGTATCTATGTATGTGTAGGTGTGTATGCATGTATGTATGTATGTCTTTATGCATGTGTGTATGTATGTATGTATTTAAGCAGGTATGCATGTGTGTCCGAATGTATGCGTTACTGTATATATGCATGCATGTATGTATGAATGCATGTGTGAATGTATGAATGAACGAATGAATTGATGTGTGTATCTATGTACGCATGCATGTATGTATGTATGTATGTATGTATGTATGTATGTATGTATGTATGTATGTATGTATGTATGTATGTATGTATGTATGTATGTACGTATGCAGGTATGCAATGATGCATTTATGAATGCATGCATGCATGCATGTATGTAGGTATGTATGTATGTATGCATGTATGTATGTATGAATGCATGCATATATGTATGCAGGTATCTAAAGTCTCTCGGCTCATCCCGCCGCCGTTTCTGGGTTGTGGAGCGTATGTCTTGAGGATGTTCGTTGGAATGTGGCGGGGTGCCTCTTGGGTGGCGTCTCTTCGGGTCTCTTGGGGGGCGTCTTGGGGTATCCTGGGGACCTCCTGGGGGCCTCCTGGGGACCTCCTGGGAGCCTGTTGGTGCGGAAGGCTTGGATTTTGCACTCGTTTCCCCCTCTTTCTTCTTGGGTCGGGTTAGGGGCCCTCCTGGGCTGTCCTGGGCGCCTGTGGGGCCGTCTTGTAGTCCTCTTGCTCCGTCTGGGGGGCCGTTTTGGGGGCCTCTTGGGCCGCCTTGGGGCGGCGTCGGGGAGCGATGGAAGCTCGAAAAGTCGAGGGCCCGAAACCATAGATAAACCACTGGCAACACAATGATTTGGGCCTCGATGGAGGGTTGATTATCATATTCTCCTCGAGGTATTCCCACCCTCCTCGCATCATCCTCCACATCTCGTATCACGCTCCTCCTTCTCGTACCCCCCTCCTTATGTCACAACTCCTCCTCCTCCTCCTCCTCCTCCTCCTCCTCAGTATCCTCCTTCCTCTTGCTCATTGCATCTCGTGGCCCCCTTGGGCCGGCCTCTTGGGCCGGCCTCTTGGGGCGCTTTCTCGGCCGACTGGAGACCACCTCGGGAGTCCTGGGGGCGACTCGGGACCCTCCTTGGCCGCCTTGGGGCCCTCCTCGGCCAGCTGCGCTACAGGCCTCGGACAAAAAATAGCGAACGCTCCTGCCACATTCATCTGTGAACGCCTCCCCCTCCCCCCAATGTTCAAAGTTGGCGTCGGGTCTGATGAGTTTCACCTCGACCGCAGCCTCCCCCCCGCGTGCCAACTCTGAGCTTTGGGGGCAGGGTGGGCGTTCGCTACTTGTTTCCCTCTGCCGTACCTCGGGGAATCCCCTGCAATCACCGGGCATCTCCGAGAATCCCTGTGAAACCGGTGGTCTGGGCCCAGCCCACTGAATGGTTTGATATTCCTTGTTTCCGTCTTGCCGTCTGTAGACGGTGTGGTTGCTAGAAGTACCTCCTTGAGGCCGGATCCACTGTTGGGAGGGGGCTACACTCTTCACACAACCTTAGGCTTCGCAAACGCCTGAAGCTCCGGTTTTGCGCAGCATGCGGATTCTATTCTCCCGAGGCCTAGCTGTCACCTCCGACTCCAGCTCCCCGGTCCGACACCCCAGTATTTCTGCCCTGGGCTCCCCAAGCCACGACGCCAACCTCTGAGCGGCCAGCCCATCCTATCATGGCACTTCGGCGCCCACCCGCTGCACCTGCGTAGGTGCCTTCAGCGCGGGACTCTGTCTGTCTGTCCGAGGCCCAGCTTTCGAATCTACACTTCGAACCGATAAGTCTCGACAGGAATTGTCACCCAGGATCGAGGATGGGCTCTGGCCAGTGCTCCTGTCGTCGTCGGAGCAGCGAGCCACGGGCTTCATCCTTCGTTGATTGAATATTTCGCTTCGCGATCGGGCTCTTCCACTCCACTCCACTCCACTCCATTCCATTTCATTCCAATCCAATCCAATATATTCCATTCTATTCATTCCCGTCCCTTCCCTTCCCTTCCCTTCATTCCAGTCCAGCCCAATCCAGTCCAATCCAGTCCATTCCGTTTCCGTTTCCGTTTTGTTCCGTTTCTTTCTTTTCTTTTCTTTTCGGTTGTTTTCCCTTCCATTCCTTTCCCTCCCCCTTCCCTTCCCGTCGCCTTCACTTCCCTCGCCTTCCTTTTCCTTCCCTTCCTTTCCCTTCCCATCCCATCCCATCCCAGTGCCGCATCCCATCCCATTCCACTCAATCCCACTCCACTCCAATCCACTCCATTCCATTCCATTCCATTCCAATCCAATCCATTCCATGCCATTCACTCCCTTCCCTTCCATTCCATTCCAGTCCAGTCCAGTTCAGGCCAGTTCAATCCAGTCCAGTCCCCCTCCCCTCCGCCCCTCCTCCCGGCCCGCCCCTCCCTCCTCCCTCCGCCCCCCGCTCTCCCGTCCTCCCCCCCCTCTTCCCTCCACCCCTCCTCCTCTCTCTCCCCCCCCTCCTCCCTCCTCCCCTCCTCCCTCCTCCCTCCCTTCCCCTCCTTCCCTCCCCCTGCCCCCCCCCCCCCGGGCCGCCCGCCCCGCCTCCGCGGAGCGCCGCTCCGCCGCACCGCCGCGAGCGGCCGCGGCAGCGCGCGGTCGCGGCGGCGGCCGCGGCCGCCCGTAGGGCTCCGCCGTTGCGGGGGGCGCCGCCAGACGGTCGGGTGCGACGCTAGTCAGGGGCAACGATAGGGGGGAAAGGCATAGGGGGGGATGCATCGACCCCGAATCGCACATTGATCGCCGATAGGGGCCCGATAGGCCCAACCCGCCCAGGAAGGTGCGGATTCACCATCGGGGGCCTATCGCCGATCCATCGGGGATATATCGCCGATTCCAGGTCGATGCATCCCCCCCTATGCCTATCCACCCCTACCGTTGCCCCTCAGCTAGGCTTAAGTCGGCCTGTCCCTCTACAGGAGGAATATCCCAAAAGAGTAAAGAACAGTCTGGGGACGATGTTATGAGTCTGTTTGGGCATGCTTTTGGATTGAGTTGAGTATTTTTTTTTTTCGTCCAGAATCCGCCTGTAGGGGGACAGGCCCGACCTAACGCTAGGGTCGGGAGTCTTGAGACGGGGGTCAATGCAAGCAAGGGTCAGCCAAAGCGCCGGATCTTGCAGGATCCTGCGGGGCCAGGGCCGCACTGACCCGGGCTTGGGTGCAGGATCCTGCAGGATTCTGCAGGGATCCTCGGTACTGACCCTGGCTTGGGTGCAGGATCTTGCAGGATCTGCAGGGTTCTGTAAGGCCCGACTAACCCGGGTCTGGATTGACCCGGGTCAGCAGATCCCCGATTAGGGTTGTGGACGACGATCAATGGAGAGGAAGCGTGTTGCCAAATCATTTCCAGATGTCTAACACATGCTTAAAAACATGTCTCAAACATGTCCAACACATGGTTTAAGCATGTTTGGAACAGATGTCAAACATTTTAAACACATTTTAAATTCAATGATAGGATCGCTCGGGTGTCCATTGTCATGGCATCCACAACGTTAGGGGGGGGACACTCAGGAGCGAAAGAAGGACGCACACGGACAGGAATCGACGTCGGTTTCGAGATGGTGCCCTGGGGGAGCGTTTTTATATTGTGAGGCCAGTCTCGTGGATTGGGGGCCGTGTTCATGCACGTGGCTTGGTGCCCGCGTCTTTAGTAGGCTCCTTAGACACGGGCTCCTCAGGGTGGTGCTGTCGCAGATTGTCCGACCGGAGTGCCTTCTTGCATGTGCGTCTCGCCGAGGGCGCTCCGCTTCGTCGAGGGCGCTCCAGTCGGGGGCAAGATTGCGACACCCACCCCGCAATACAGATGCCAATGTATTTTCATTAATTACTCGTGGCGCGAAATTTGCCTCGGGGCCCAAATGTGCCGACTTCGGGGGGTCGCAGGGGACGTCTTGGACGAGTTGCCGACGCTTCGCGGAGGCCGCCTTCGCGGGGGCCCAGCGAGCCCGCCGACTGCACGCGGCCATACAGGTCGCCGCCAGCATCGGTGATGCTCGTACTGGTCTGCACGGGTGGGACCCGCCCTCGCGAATCTGCGGTATTTCCAGAGGCGTTTCGTTTTCCCGCGGAACAGCGGGTGCATGCGAAAACCATTGAAAAAGCATGATGTACACCCGCCCAAACGAAGTATACACCCACCTAGAAATTTATACACCCGAGCAAAAATATAACACATGTTTCAAGGAAACGACGTGTACACCCACCAAACCCGGTGCACAGAATACTGGCGTATTTCTAGAGACGAAAACCCTCTGGCGCTGAGTCGCCATGTCAGTGCCTGCGGCGTGAGCCGCGTGGCTGGCTCATATCAGCAAGCCGCCGATGGCTTGCGCGTGCTCCAGTACGGAAGCTTCAGGTTTGTGCGGCCCCGCGCGCGCGGCTTGTTCGGCCATGTGCATCCTGCCAGTCTTGCCGACGATGGAAATCGTCGTCGGGATATCATTCGGGACCATCCGCGGGCTCTGCCGAATATATGCATACATGGGCGCTGTAAGGCAAGGTGGGTGTGTCGATCTTTATCTCCCCATCCAGGGGTACCCGAATCGCCCCGCAGGGCCGCCACAGGCCCGAGAGTTGTGACCCGAAGACTGGTACGGTCGGGCCGAGGTACAAGATCGAGGTCGGTTCGGGGAGGGTGCCCTGGTGTTCTTCGTGCTTGTTGCATGCTCCTGTGCATCCTGGGGAAGGGGACTCTCGAAGGTTCTTCAGTTTGGCTGGCGGAGGGTCTCGCGTTCTTCCAGGATGTTCTTCTGTCCTAGTCGGGTATAGCCAGGACCCCAGGTAAGGGGACCCGGTGAGTAGTAGGGCCCTGGAGCTCCTCAGTTGGCCAGAATCACTAAGCCAGGTCTGCCGAAGCTGGTGTGGTTTCGGGTGGCGGCAACTCCGGGTAGTGGAACGAATGGGGGTGGCGCCCCCCAGCACACTTCTTTAAACCGGGTCCCACGAAACCCAGCTCTTCACCACCCACCAAACCACCCCAACCCAACCCGAAGGCCCAAATTTATCCTCGATTTCCAGTGGGGGGGGGTTGGGGAACATTGAAAAAACACATGGAACCCGTGCCCCCCCCAACCCGAAATTCGGGTCAAATTCGGGTCTTCGAGTTGGGTTGGGGTGGTCTGGTAGGTAGTCAGTTCTGCCAACGCCCGAGACGGGGTGGCAGCGAGGGCTGCAGAAATGGGCCTGGGTCCTAGGCCCTAGGTCCGACCGTAGGTCGGGGGCGAGCGAGGGGGGGGAGTGAGAAGGGGCGGGCCTTCTCAGCAGTCTCGGAAGCCGCCCGGCCTTCCGAGAAGTTTTCGTAGCCTTCCCCGGAGACAGACACAAAGCCTCTCAGAAGGCGCGGTCTGAGAAGTCCCGCCGCCTCCTGAGAAGGCCTCCTCCTCCTCCTCCTCCTCCTCCTCCTCCTCACTTCGCCCCCTCGCTCGCCGCCGGCCCGCAGTCGGCCATGCTTCGCCGCGAGGCGCGCCGGGCAGGCCCCCCCCCCCCCCCACATATCGAACGGCCCAGGAGCGCGCGGTCTCTCGCTGATGGGAGCCCGCGCCGCCGATCTGCCGGCGATGCGTCGCCGCTTCCTGCCTGGGCGTCGCGTGGTGGGGGTGGCGATAGATGGGGTTCAGGAGGGAGCAAGATCACACAGACACAGTGAATCGTCGACTCCCATGAGAAGATGGGGAAATATGGGACGTGGGGGTGAGGAAGAGGATCCAGAAGATATGTGAAAATAGGGGGGCTCCAGGGATGTGTGTGTGTGTGTGTATCTATTTCTGTGTCCCCGGGTCCCTTCAGAGGGGGGCAGCGAGGGCTGCAGAAAGGGGCCCCTTCTGGGGTCGCTGAATGTGCCGCTTGGGGCCCCCAAGGGGAGCCTCTGGGGCCCGAGGAGCGCACCTCTCTTCCCCCCCTCCCCCCCCCCCCCTTTGTATCGCACCCCCCTCCCTCCCCCCCCCTCCCCCCCCCCCCCTCCCCCCCCTCCCCCCCCTTTTTCCCCCGCCCTCCCCCCTCCCCCCTTTTGTGTCGCACCCCCACGAGGCGCAGCCCAACGTGGTCAGTGCTTGAGCCAGTTCCCCCCTCTCTCAGAGGAAGGCGTGGCGACGCCATCGCCATCGCCACCGCGGGGGCCGCCTCCAGCGGGAGGGTCCACGCTGCGTCCTCGACTTTGGGATGAGAGACATGTTTCGAGCCATAGGGAGGGAGCGGGCCACCCCACCAGAAAGACCCTGCCTGTAGCCTCGCTCTGGTGCTGGTCTCGCTTCCCCAGGCATGCGACGCCTCGATTCCCAGCTACCCTGTGGTGTGGGGTCCTCGTTTCGAAGACGCAGTTCCCCGCGAACTTCTCGCTCACTCACTCACTCACTCACTCACTCACTCACTCACTCACTCACTCACTCACTCACTCACTCACTCACTCACTCACTCACTCACTCTTTCACTCACTCACTCACTCACTCCCCTCCCTCTTCCAATCCTTGCCTCTGCCCTCCGCGCGACCATTTCGGAACACCCCTCACGCGTTCTAAGGCCCCGTAGGGAGCCCCACCGAGAGCTCCAGTGGCTGCGTTCGCGTGGCGGCACCGCGCCCCCCATTTCGGCCCACCCCTCACGCGTTCCGTGCCCCCACGGGGAGCTCCACGAAAGGCCCCAGTGGCTGCGTTCGCACAGCGGCACAGCATCCATTTCCGACACGCCCCTCACACGCTTCGTGGCCCTATCGGAAGCTTCACCGAGGGCCCCAGTGGCTGCGTTCGCATGGCGGCGCCGCGCCCGTTTCGGCACAACTAGGGGGCCACATGCGAACCCTACCTCTACCCCCACGATTTCTGAGGGGGAGGGTTGGGTTCCCATCGCTCGCTCGGGAGCTCCCGAGCGAAGTAAACCCCACCCTCCCCATTAGAAATCGTGGGGGGTAGGGGTAGGGTTCGCATGCGGCCCCCTAACAACTCTCGCGCGTTCCGTGTTCTTGAAGGGAGTTCCACGGAAGGCGCCAGTGGCTGCATTCACATGGCGGCACCGCACCCACTTCGGCACACTTTGCACACGCTTCGTGGCCCCCTCGACCAGGCTCCACCGAAGAGGATACCAGTGCGCTGCTCACAACCGCATACGGTTGGGCTCTTCGCCAGTGTATATTTTCCAATTCGCGGCCCCTGGAGGGCTGACCCTTTTCCCCAGGACCAGTATTGATCCCCAGTCGTTTTTTGTTCGCGACGCGAGCATGTTTGCGTTTCCCGACCTTGCCACCTCCCCAGGGGCAGTTGTTCGCCCCGAGCTGTTTTTGGACGCTCCCGGGGCCCAGCGAGGGCCCCCCGCGGCCGACACGGCCAGCAAACTTCCCGTCGTTTTTCTGCTCGCGACGCTGACACGCCTGGGCCTCCCCCCCCTTTCAGAAGACAATCCTGGGAGCCTCTTATTGTCAGTTGGCCTGGCTTTCCTGCGCCTCCAGTGGTCCACAGTCGTTTCGCTCGCGCCACTGGAGGCCCCTGGGGACTGCGGGAGGCCACCGGAGGCCACTGGAGGCCACGGGGGGGCCACCGGAGGAGGCGCGGGAGGCGGCTCCAGGCTCGCGGGGGGCCGCGGGGGTCCACCTGGTGGCCACAGGAGGAGCCGCTGCGGCCACTCGAGGTGGCGGCGAGCGCCTCCCGGGAACGCCTTCCGAGCCCCCACGGCGCTCCCGCTCCGATGAGGGCGGCCGCTCGAGCACGGCCGCCGCGGCGCGCGGCGGGGGCCGCCGGGCGCCTCTGCGCGGGCCTGTTGGCCGCTCCCGCCCAGGGCGCCTTTGCCGCAGGACGGCTGCTGTCGTCGTCGTCGTCGTCGTCGCCGTCGCCGTCGCCGTCGCCGTCGCCGTCGCCGTCGCCGTCGCCGTCGTCGTCGTCGTCGTCGTCGTCGTCGTCGTCGTCGTCGTCGTCGTCGTCGTCGTCGTCGGTCGTCGATGTCGTCGATGTCGTCGTCGTCGTCGTCGTCGTCGTCGTCGTCGTCGTCGTCGTCGTCGTCGTCGTCCTCTTCGATGTCGTCGTCCCCGTGTCTCCGAGGAGGGCCAGTTGAGAGAACGGTAGTTGGCCTTCGGGGGGCCCCCATGTCGCCACGGCTGGACGCAGCCCAGAACACTGGCGCGCTTGGTCCCCAGGAGGGGTCCATGGACCGATTTTGAGCTGCCGTTGTCTAAACCCGTCCTCCTCAGAGTGTCCCTCCAACTCCTCGTCCTCCTCCGTCGCCTTCCCCCTCTGGGCACCTCTGGGCACCTCCGCGGACCTCCAGCAGCCACTGACATCCTCGGCCACCTCCTCTCCTCCCCCCCCTCCTCCCCTCGTTTTCCTCGTCCTCCTACTTCCCTCCCTCCTCTCCTCGTTTTCCCCCTCCTCCACTCGCTTTCCCCCCTCCTCCTCCTTCCCTCGTTTTCCTCTCCTCTCCCCCCCCCCCCTCCCCTCGTTTTCCCCCTCCTCCTCCTCCTCCTCCTCCTCCTCCTCCTCCTTCCCTCCCTCCAGTGCGGAGCAGGAGCATATCCACAGCTGGGCCTCCCCGTGCCCAGGCGGGGCCCGTGGGCGCCTGGTGGCGGTGTCTTGGATGCGGTGGCGGGCCTCCGCGAGGGCAGGGGGGGGCGACTTGGGAGCCCGCCCAGCCTCAAAGGCGAGGGTCGGAGGTGGACTCTTTTGAGGGTCGGGGACGACGCTGGGGTGGTGTGGTGTATATTTTTTGTTCTCCGTTGTCCTGGGGAAGCGACGAAAAATGTATGCACTAGGATCCCGTATGCACCATAATCCGCGTTCCTGTGCGAATTTCGTCGCAGGGTCGGGAAAAGCGTCGGTGTATGGAGTTCGGTTCCCTAGATAGACCTCCTACCCTGACACGTCGATTGAGGAATTGGCAGTTTTCGGTTCGCGAGAGGGCGTCGCGGCCGTCATTTTCGTGGTTCCAGGTCTGTCGGTTTCGGTCCCAGGCCGTTGTCGCTGAGGGGAGGTTTACGAAAGGGAGGTTTGTCCACCGCCGAGAGGGTCTTCGCGGAAGCTTCCGGGGCCCTCCCAGGGAGGCCCCCGCATTCTGAGAAGCCCTCCATGTCTTCTCAGGAGAATAAAGTAAACAAAAGGAAATTAAACAAGCAGAAGCCGTACCAACACCATAAACACATAAACACATAACAGCATACTAACAACAAACACATGGTAACACATACATTTTTTTGTATATGTATTCCTCTTCGAATATTCTTTTTATAGCGGAACCCCCCCCCTGACCCCCCCCCCCGTACATAAATTCGGCCCTGGGCGCTCCCACCGACGTGAAAATCGAATTTCGGCTTCGGGAGCCTCTCCCGGCTATCCCCGGACGGTCCCGCAAAGCCCGAGGACGGCCCACGACCGCTCCAGAACGGCCCATGAGCGCTCAAAAAGATTTCAGGTTGGCTTCAAGACGGCCCAACACGCTCCCAAAACGCCCCAAGAGGCCCCCAAGGAGACCCCCACAACGCAAAAATCGTCCCATTCCCTTCGGGAGACTTACAATTTTACCATATTCGCTTCTGTGGCCTTCACTGCGTCCAAGACGGCCCAAGAGGCCCCCAAGATCGCCCCAGGACGACCCAAGATACCCCCAAGAGGACCCCAAGACAGCCCAAAAGGGCTCCAAGACGGCCCAAGAGAGCTCCAAGACAGTCCCAAAAGCCCCAAAAGGCGTCCAAGCGAGCCCCAAGAAGGCCCCAAGAGGCGCCCAAGAATGTTCCGTAACCATTTTGGCTCAAGCGATATTGGCTCAAGCTATACAGCCTCACGGCGGACGTTGTCGCGGTGTCTGCGCAGCCCCCACCCCGCTGCATGGAGATGTACTTCCCGAGCAGGTGGTCCTCGTCGGCGCTCTCGCTCTTCCTTCTGCTGCTGCACTCGGGCGCCCTGGCCGCCGGCTCGTCTCGCGAGGTGGTCGGCGAGGGGTCCTGCGGGGACGAGCAGGACGACGGCGTCGCCCTGCTCATGCACATGCGCGCGGCGACGAAGGAGGCTGAGAACTGCTCCAGTCTTGCCAGCAACTCGCCGCTGGTAGAGGAGGTGCTGAGCAGCGCGAAGATCCCCCTCACCGGGCAATCCACGGGCAATCCGCCGTACGAGGCCACGGTGCAGGAGCCCTTCGGCCAGTCCTCGCCCGTCTTCCCTCCGCAGGACGTGATGTACGGCTCGGGCCAGGAGGCCATCGAGCAGGACAAGAGGCGCTGCGCGAAGAAATTACACGATGGAAGACTTCGACGCCGCTTGGGACTACTTGGCTTGTGAGCTCAACCGTCTCTTCAGCAACCCGACGGTGGCAGCGGCTTTTGACAGGGCCATCCAGGGCTTGGAGCCCATTGTCAAAAACGCGGACAATCCGCCCCAGGCCTTCCCGAACCCATGGATCGGAGCGTCACAGGCGGATTTCGTGGAGTTCATGCGCTCGTACTTCCTCATGCTCCCCGGACCGACTGGCAAGGACAACGGTTTTTCGTAATCCTCAAGATGAACTTCCTCCAGCGCCGCAACCAGGCGGCGATTGATCTCTTCAACAAGTTCAAAAGCCAGACGCCTCCGGCGACCACGGCCACCACAGAGTTCTTCGATTGGACGTACAAGTGGGTCACTCTGAGGGGCATGTATATGGACTCGAAAGCCTCCCTTGCTACGGTTGCGCGGTGGGTGGAGTACGTCAACGACCCTGCTCAGGCCAACAACGTCCGGGGGAACATGTCTGCCTACGAGGGCTACGATCCCGACGACCCCCCGGCTACGGCTACAATTCCTTTAACCAGTACTTCTCGAGGATCTTCAAAGATTACAACAAGAGCAGGCCCATCAGTCAGCCAGAGGACAAAATGGTGGTCACAGCCCCAGGGGACGTGTTGATCAATTTTATCATCAATTATCTCACGAACCAGACCAGGCTGCCCGTGAAGGGGAGCGACTTCAATGTCAAGGAGCTGCTGAACGGCTCCGCGCTGGCCTCGAAGTTCATCGGTGGTACTGCGGTCTCCAACGTGCTCGAGCCTTACGTTTACCACAACTTCCACGCCCCCGTGGACGGGCGCCTCGTTAAAGCGGTGGACGTGCCAGGTTATTTCTTCGGCATCCCGGACGGCATGCGGTGGTTTGGCAGCGAAGACACTGGCAGCTCGGACACGGACTTCGGCGTGTTCTCGGGCTTCCACCGCCTCGTATTAATCTACGACACCGGCCCGTATGGATTGGTGGCGCAGGTGGCGGTCGGCTTGGCGGACGTGAACACCATCTGCCCCACGGTGAATGCTGAGATGCCTTCGGTGCCTCCTGGCTCTTGCAGCGGCGCTTCGTGCCCCGAGGTCAGAAAGGGCGAACGCATGGGGTTCTTTCTATGCGGCGGGTCGCTGAACATCCTCCTCTTCCAGCCTGGCGTGTTCGCTTCCCAGGACCTCCCCATGGGCAACCGCCTCGGCAGCATGAGCGCCATATCATAGCCTCCCCCGCCCTGAGCGTCATCAAGCGAATGCGCAGCTGGAGTACCCGTGAGGTCAAGCGGCACGGCTCTGAGAGGTTGTGGGGGGGCAAGCCAGATTCGAGGAGGTTTGTCCACCGCCGAGCTGAGGCGCCACTGTTCTCGCACTGCGCCTTTTTAGGTCGCGGGAGGGTCGGCCAGCCGCATCGGTCAGTTGGCCTGCCCGCCCCGCGTGCTCCGACCTTTCGGAGCCACTCATGCTATGATTTGAAGTCCCCCCCTTCCCCCTTCCTCCTCCTCTTTTCTGAGCCCTCCTTCCTTCTTCTCCACCTCTTCCTCCGTCCGTCAGTCTTGCGCCTCGCATGCCAAGTTGACTGGTCTGAGCATTGCTTGGTCCGAGCGTGGCCTCGGCATTGGCATTGGCTAAGCCCTCACCAGGTGCATGGCTGGCCAGCCTTGCCCGCCACCTCCCCTCCCCTCCCCTCATTGCGCCGTTGCCAAGCATATGATCTTTTTTCCTGCAGTCGAGCTTGCACGACGTGGTCGTGTATCGTGGCGCAGTCGAGCCGAGTCAAACATGGTTCCGTGCTGGCGCGGTCCGATTCGACAAAGGTTGCGAGAGGTGGGGAGGGAGAGGTTGGGGGGGGGGCAAGCCAGATCCGAGGAGGTTTGTCCACCGCCGAGCTGAGGCGCCACTGTTTTCGCACTGCGCCTTTTTATGTCGCGGGAGGGGCGGGCAGGCCGCGTCGGTCAGCTGGCCTGCCCGCCCCGCATGCTCCGACCTCTCGGAGCCACTCATGCTATGATTTGAAGTCCCCACCTTCCCCCTTCCCAACCTCCTCCTCCCCTCTTTTCTGAGCCCTCCTTCCTTCTTCTCCACCTCTTCCTCCGTCCGTCAGTCTTGCGCCCCGCATGCCAAGTTGACTGGTCTGAGCATTGCTTGGTCCGAGCGTGGCCTCGGCATTGGCATTGGCTAAGCCCTCACCAGGTGCTGCCATTCTGGCTGGCCAGCCTTGCCCGCCACCTCCCCTCCCCTCCCCTCATTGCGCCGTTGCCAAGCATATGATCTTTTTCCTGCAGTCGAGCTTGCACGACGTGGTTGTGTATCGTGGCGCAGTCGAGCCGAGTCAAAAATAAGAGGCGCCCAAGAATGTCCCAACGTGGCCGAATCCCCCCAGGACGGCCCAAGAGGATCCCGGGACAATTCCGGAGAGCCGCCAGACAGCCCAACAGAGTCCCAAAAGGAGCCCCACGAAGGCCCCGACATGCCATATTATTTGATTTCCGCTAACATGCTCCGCACTGTTTCTGTCTCCAACGCCGCCGCCCCGGGGGGCCTCGGGACAACCCCGGAGAGCCGCCAGACAGCCCAAAAGAGCCCCACAAGGAGCCCCACGAAGGCCCCGACATGCCATATTCATTGCTTTCCGCTACCATGCTCCGCATGATTTTTTCTTCCAACGCCGCCACCCAGGGGGACATCTACGTCGCCGATGTTTTGGCTTCGGTCCAGGAGCCGACACTTTCCCCGATCGCACGCTGCCCCGTGCATAGGCTCCTGCCCTCTGCCCCCTCAGAGCCCTTCCAGCTTGAAGACTCTATGAGCCACATAAGGCCCAAGAGCCATATGAGTTCAATGAGCTCTACGGCCCCTCGTCCTCGTCTTCATTGTCGCCGTCGTCGTCTTCGTCGCCGCCGTTGTCGTCCCCCATGAGACCTACAGGCCTATCAACCCCTTCAGCCTTATGAGCCCTGCGAGCCCTATGACACTCAAGACCCCATATGGGCCCCGACATCCCTATGACCCCCGGGACCCCTGCGACCTCTCTTTTCCCTACGAGCCCTACGAGGCCTGCAGTGCCCTATGTGTTTTGCGAGCCCTATGAGTCCTGCGAGCCCTAATGCCTACAAGCCGCCTCGTGAACCCTACCAGCCCTACGACCTCAATTACCCTATAACCCCTACCAGCCATATGAACCCTGTCGACCTCATGAGCCCTACGACCCCTGTGGCGGCTCATGCCCCTGCGACCCCCATCCGCCCTATGAGATCTACGAGCCCCGCGGTGCCCTATATCCCCTCCGAGCTCCATGAGCCCTCCATTGCCCTGTGCGCCCTACGAGCCCTACGACCCCAACTACCCCTACAGCCCCTACCAACCATATGAGCCCTCTCAGCCCTGAGAACCCGAACGCCTACAAACCCCGCGAACCCCGTCAGCCCCACGAGACCCACGGGCCCACAAGCCCCGCGAGCCCTGCGAGCATACGAGCCCTACGAGCCTCACGGGCACACGAGCTCACGAGCCCTACAAGCCTACAAGCCGACGAGCCTTACGGGCCTACGGGCCCTACGAGCCCCACGGACCTACGGGCTCTACGAGCTCTACAGGCCCACGAACTCACGAGCCCTGCGGGCCTACGGGCCCTGCGAGCCCTACGAGCCCCACAAGCCCTACGAGCGTACAAGGCCCACGAGCCCTACGAGCCCTACGGGCCTACGAGCCCAGAGAGCCCACGAACCCTGGGCGCCCTACAAACCCATCATCCCGGTGAGCGCTGCGGGCCCGACGAGTCATCCGAGCTCAAAGGCCGCGCGAACCGCGCGAGCCCCGCGAGGCCGAAGAGCCCCACGAGGTCACGAGCCCTACGAGCCCTACGCTCCCCATGCGCCCCAGGAGCCCATGACCCCTACACGCGCCTTAGGCGTCCGACCCCTATTCCCCAACCAACCCAGCGAGTCCCACAAGCCCATTGACCCCTGGAACCCCGTAGGCCCCACGCGCATGGCGAAACCAGTGAGCCCCATGACCCCTCTGAACCACACAATCTACGCGCACCGTGAGCCCTGTGTGCCCACGAACGCTTGCGCCCCACCCACGCCCCACGAGTCGATCGCGAGCCCTCCGACCTCATGGGCCCTGTGAGCCCCATGAGCCCTACGAGCCCTACGGGCCCCACGAGCTCACGCTCCATGAGCCCCATGACGTCCGTGAGCCGCGGCCACCGAGCGACCACTACGACCCTTCAAGCCCCGCGAGCCCCACGAGCCCCCATGAGGCCCACGACACATAGCAGGCCAAACAAGCCCCACAGTTGGTCGCAGCGAGCTTTCCAGGCGCCATGCGACCAAGATTTTAAAGGCGAAGCGAAGCGAGCCGGTAAAATCTTGTATATTTAATCGCTTCGCTCATTCCGCCGGCCCGTATTGCGCACCGCGGTCGACTGGATGAGAGGTCGTCGGCAGTGCGGAGCTGCAGGGAGCGGGGGCTGTTTTTTTTGTTGAGTCGTTGCGTTCGGCCTTTTGTGGTGAAGATGCCCCGGTGGAACAGGTTCGTGTCGATTCGTGGCGACCGTCTGTGGGGGTGGCGGGGGAATTGGGGCCTCTTTTGGGCCTCTTGGGCGCCTCTTGGGGCGTCTTGGGGGCCTCTTGGGGGTCTCTTGGGGCCTCTTTGGGACCTCCTGGGCGGCTTCTGGGGCGGAGGGCTCGATTTTTCAGTTCTCTGTATCCCTCTTGAGCCCCTCTTGGGCCCGTCTTGGGGCCTCTTGGTCCGTCTTGGGCGGCACTTGGGCCGTCTTGGGGGCCCTCTTGGGCCGTTTCGGGGCCGTCTTGGGAGCTTCGTGGGCCGTCTTGGAGCGATCTTGGGCGCCTCTTGGGTCGTCTTGGAGCGTCCGGAAGCCGAAAAAGCCAGAACGCAAAAAACATGGAAAAACCAATGAAAATCAACGATTTTGGCCTCTTGGGGCCCTCTTCGGAGGCCTCTTGGAAGGCTCTTGGGGCGTCTTGAAGGCCTCTTCGGCTGTCTTGGGGGTCTCTTGGGCCGTCTTGGGGTCATCTTCGGCGCCTTGGAGCGCTCTTTGAACGTCTCGGGGGCCTCTTGAGCAATCTTGGGGGCCTCTTGGGGCACTCTTGGCGCGCTCAGGGCGGCCTGAGAGGCCGCACCCAGAAGGAAAACCATCTCTGAGTTGAACCGGGCGGGACCTTCCCAGGCGGCGGGCGGGGTACTTTTCGCCGGGGGACCCCCAGGGGCCGCCCCGCGCGCGCGAACTAGTACAATACAATTGTTAACCAGTTACCGGAGATCTTAGCACGCCTCTGGCCCGTTGGGCCGGCGAATTTATATATACATACACATATAAAGAAGACTTCCATGCCTTCTCAGAAGGTCGCCCCCCTCGCGCCCCCCCCCTGTGTGGGCGCCGCCAAAGCCAGGATGTTTCGATCAGACCTGGACAATGGAGCTCTGCTGCGGCTTCGGCTTCGGCGACAGGGGCAACGAGCGCTGCTGGCTGCCGCCCAATTTCACCTTCGAGACCTGCTGCGTCCAGTCGGTGGTGGCCGTGAGCGACGTCAGGAGGTACATGGACGGGTTCATGGACTGGCACTCCGACCTCTTTCCGCCAGTGCGCGAGTGCCGGTCGAGCCCGTCACGTGAGTCGAGCGCTCCAGAAAGGCGGGACGACGGCTACTGGGGGCCCCTGCACGCCGATCTGGGCTACGACCCGCGGATCATCGTGGATGTCGGGGGAGGCACAGGACAGGGCTGGACCTAAACGCTATTTTGCTGGACTTCGGCCGTGGTTTGTTTTTCCCGGAAAGGGCTCGAGCCCAGGGTTCTCTTTTAGTGGGTTCACCTCCCGGTTCTTACTTGAAGGGGGCCGGCGAATGTCTTGTGCGATAAATTACTAGGTCGAAGGGGGCCGGCGAATTAAAATTGTGAGGACGAAGGCCATTTTTCGCCACCCCTCACGCAGATCGTGCTCTTGGAATTTTACTGCCTTTAAGGAAACCTCGATATTTCACAGGTGAAGTCAACTTTTTTTCCGACATCGACTTTAAACGATAAAAAACGAGGTAAACGCGTTCGCTCGATAAATAACGAGGTACCGCGGCCTCCGGAACGGCGCTGGGAACGGAGTTTTGGATTCTTGAAGTTGCATGGAAAAGCAAAAATTGCGGAAATGGCACCGAATTTCAGAAATGTGGCCCCGTGTGTTTTTGGACCCTGACCCCGCGGATCTGCGTGAGGGGTGGCACCGAATTTCAGAAATGTGGCAAATCCCCTGTGTTTTTGGACCCTGACCCCGCGGATCTGCGTGAGGGGTGGCACCGAATTTCAGAAATGTGGCAAATTCCTTGTGTTTTTGGACCCTGACCCCGCGGATCTGCGTGAGGGGTGGCACCGAATTTCAGAAATGTGGCAAATCCCCTGTGTTTTTGGACCCTGACCCCGCGGATCTGCGTGAGGGGTGGCACCGAATTTCAGAAATGTGGCAAATCCCGTGTGTTTTCGGATCCTGACCCCGCGGATCTGCGTGAGGGGTGGCACCGAATTTCAGAAATGTGGCAAGTCCCATGTGTTTTCGGACCTTGACTTCGCCCAGGAGGGCCCAGGAGGCTCCAGGAGAGCCCAGGAGAGCCCAGGAGGGCCCAGGAGAGCCCAGGAGGGCCCAGGAGGACCCAGGAGGCTCCAAGAGGCACCAGGGGGCCCAAGGAGGGCCCAGGAGAAGCTCCAGGAGGCTCCAGGAGAGCCCAGGAGGGCCCAAGAGGTCCAAGGAAGACCCAGGAGGGCCCAGGAGCCCTTACGAGGGATCGTGGCCCTGGGAGCGCTGACGTGCCGTGGGGGGCCTCGTGGGGGGCCAGAATTCAAAGGATGTCTCAGGCAAAATGCTTGTTTTCACGTCCCGCTCGCAGGAATTCCGAGGATGTCTCGCGCGTGCCGCGTCCCGCGCGCAGGAATATCGCGGATGTCTCGACTAATTCGTTTGTTTTGCCAGGATTTCCTTGGATTTTGGCAGGATGTCTCGAGCGAAACGTTTGTCCCCAGCACGTTCCGTAGCGCGTCCCCTTGGCACGTCCCGCGGTGCGTCCCCATGGCACGTCCCTTGGCACGTCGCTGGGCGCGTCCCTTGAGACGTTCCGCGGCGCGTCCTCCTGGCATGTCCCCCTGTCAATTAGCTCTGGGGCAGCTACTCTGTGTTCAGGCAGCTGGAGCTTAAGATCGAGATCAGCTCGGTCAGGACTCGGATGCAAAGAAGGACTCGATCCACGAGGCTATAGAGCACAATCGCGGCATGGCGCATCGCAATTCAGCACGGCGCAGCACAGCACAGCCCTCGGCACGGTACATCAAGATCGATACACTCAGCATTGCAACTTGGCACGTTCCTTGGCACGTTCCGTGGCGCGTCCCCTTGCGAGTCTCCCTTGCACGTCGCGTGGCGCTGGCACATCCCGTGGCACATCCATTGGCACGTTCCGTAGCGCGTCCCCTTGGCACGTCCCGCGGTGCGTCCCCATGGCACGTCCCCTGGCGCGTTGACTGGCGCGTCCCCTGGGACGTTTCGCGGCGCGTCCTCCTGACATGCTCCCCTGTCCATCAGCTCTGGGGCAGCTACTCTGTGTTCAGGCAGCTCGAGCTTAAGATCGAGATCAGTTCGGTCAGGACTCGGATGCAAAGGAGGACTCGATCCATGATGCTGTAGAGCACATTCGCGGCATGGCACATCGCAATTCAGCACGGTGCAGCACAGCACAGCCCCCGGCAGGGTACATCGAGATCGATACACTCAGCATTGCATTTGCCCGTCACCCAATCAGGTGTCTTTGAAAACGCTGCCATGTGTTACAGTTCTATATTCCTTTCCGGGTTCGTGGGTCGATCATGTTCGTTTTTGGCAGGGAGGTACAGAAAAACAGGCAGAGCAGAACGGACAACAGAACGACAACAACACGAAACACAACGTTTAGGTGATCGTTTTGTTTATTAATTGTTTTGCCGAACGTCGCGGGCCCTCGCCCCCCCCCTCCCCCCCTCTTTGGAGCAGATCTTGGCCGCTTTGGGCGCCTGTTTTGAGCGGGTGGAGCCTCCCCCAGAGGCAGCTTTCTTGCAAACAGTCGCACTGAGCAGAGGTCCAGAGCCAGACCCCCTCCTCCCCCCTCCCATTCCGCCCAATGTCGAAACGTCGAATAAAAACGCTCACCTACTCTCCCTCGGCGCTATACTCGAATCGGCCGGAGGGATTTGCATTACTTTTTTGACTTCGGCTGTGTTTTTCCCGGAAAGGGCATAAGCCCAGGGTTCTCTTTTAGTTGGTTTACCTCCGGGTTTGACTTGAGGTGGGCCGGCGAATTTCTTTTGCGATACATATCGAGGTCGAGGTGGGCCGGCGAATTAAAATTTGAGGATGTCCCTAGCGAAACGCTGATTTTTGAAATCGCGATTGATAAATCACAGGGTGCGGGACACGTTTTGGTCAGGGGCATGGATTACGTAATGCCTATAGATTGGCCCCATCCAGGGGTACGTAATTGTTCCTATAGATGGGCCCTCTCGTACCTATCGATTGGCTCTCTCCAGGGGCACGAGTACGTGTATGTTTTACGTATATTCCTATAGATTTGCCCTCTCCAGGAATACGTGTGTTCCCATAGATTGGCCCCATCCAGGGGCACGCATGCGCTCCGTAGCCATTTTGGCTCAAGCCATTTTGGCTCAAGCCATTTTGGCTCAAGCCATTTTGGCTCAAGCCGTTCCCTTTCTGTTCGCTCTCGTTTTGGGCCCCGCGCGAGGCCGCAGTGATCGGACGCTTGGGGAGATGGCTGTGGGCGGCGGCCAAGCAGCCCGCGAGGCTGCTGAGCCGCCATGCGCTGGGGGCTCCCTCTGGCCCGCGAGGCGCTCCAGGCAGGCGGCGGCTCGCGCTGCCTGCGCTGGGCGGCTGCAGGCGGCCCTGGCGCGGGTGACCGACCTCGAGGCGGAGTGCGCGCGGCTCCAGGCGGGGCTGGGCCACGCGCTGGACGCTAGCCAGGCGGTGGCCACGGCTGCGGCGCGCGCATCCGCGCAGGAGGCCCGCGGCTCCGCGACCCCTGCGGCGGATGCTGTCCATGACGGTGGTGGTCTTCCTGGTGCTGGCTCTGGCGGCGACGTCGACAGCTTGTGCGAGGACTCCGCGGACCTGGACGGCAAGAGGGACCCGCCGCTCCGCGCCTCGGTCCCCGAGGTCGTCGCAAGGCTGGCGCTGGTCGCGCCCGTCATGGCGGCGGACCTCTTCAACGAGCCTGCAGCCACCCTGGACGTCGGGCGTCGGAACGTGGTCTGCCACAACCCGACGATCTCGGCGGCGGAGGTGCGCAGGCTATCTCAGCGGGCGCTCAACCGCCTGCAACGCTCGGCTGCTCCGAGGGCACGGCGGGGTCGGCATGGGGGGCAGCCTCTTCACGGTCGCAGCGCTGGTGTTCGCGGCCGTGGAGCTCTTCCTCCTCTTCGCCCTGCTGGTGCTGGGCCTCCGGTGCGGCTGCGGCCGCCTCGCGGGGCTTCCGGCGCCCTGCCCCACCGGCGCCAGCCCGCGGCTCGCTCGGCCGCCGAGGGCGTGTCGGCTTCCTGGGAGGTCGCCTGCCGCCGCGGGCGCAGCCTCCCAGCGGGCGCCCGCTTCGCTCTCGCTGATCGGGCGCGTCTTTCGGCTGCCCACGTGCCCGCCCCGCTCGCCTCGGGGCCCCGATGGTGGAAAGGGGACCTCGAGCATGCGGAGCAGGGCTCGGCCAGGCAGCTTGCCTGCCACGAGTTCGGAGGCGACCTGAAGGAGCTGGACGGCTTCAACCACTCCGCGGCGTGCGCGAGTGCGGCCTCGAGCGCGCCCCCTTCGGCTCGTGACTCGGACTTCGTGGCGGCGGAGGGCCCCGAGGCTCTCATCGTCGGCGCTGCGGCTGACGACGTCGACGACGGGCAGGGAGACGCCTCCGTGGTGTTCATTTCGGCCGACGGGCTCGAGGAAGGGCCCGAGGAGGATGTCGTGGAGGAGGCGCACGGTGGCATGCTGGAGCTGGTGGTGGGGGACGCCGCGGCCCTCGCGCCCGCTCCCCAGCTTGGTGCGGCGGTTCGTGCTCGCCTTCGCCTCGATCGTCTCCGACTTCAGGTCGTCAAGGGTGCCGCGGTGCCCATCGACGACCGCGACCTCCGCAGACCTGGCTGGCAGGCCGCCGATGCCGCAGCTGGGGTGGAGGTGCCCCCGACGCCTGCCCAGCAGCGCGAGGGGCTCCGCTGGGTGAGACGGCTTCTCGCTGTTCCTGGGGCCTGGCACGGAGGCGCGGTCTGGGAGCCTGAGTCCATCGAAGAGGCGGCCAGACGCATCGACGGCGAAGGCTCGCGCCGCGCCCGCCGTGCCGCTCGCTGACCCAGCGCGCCCGCTGCCGCGGCGACACTCCTCGAGCTGTTGCGGTAGCCTCTGGGCGCTTTTCTGCTTCTCACCTTTTGTGGGAGGCGCCGCATTGCCCTTGCCATCTATCTTGCAAGCGTGCCTGCGGCTGGCCGCATTTTGCGGCTCTCGCCTTCGTGGCGGCAGGATCGGCTCGTGCTGCACGGGCTGCCTTGTCATTATAAAAAAGGGGCACGCATGCGTGTGTTTTTTTACGTATGTTCCTATAGATGGGCCCTCTCATTACCTATAGATTGGCCCTCTCCAGGATTACGTGTGTTCCCATCGATTGGCCCTCTCCAGGGGCACGAATCCGTGTATTTTTCCGTATATTGTTTTACGTGCCCAGGCCACCCAGGTGGGATATCTAACATGTATGTCCGAGCAAGCACCACGTGCTTCCACGTGCCCAGGCCACCCAGGTGTGTATCTAACATGGTTGCCCAGAGCTGGTCCCACGTGTTTTTACGTGTCCAGGCCA